CATTTCACAAAAAACTACGCACTGTTATGATTCTGTGATTCCACTTATATGAATTATAAGGACAGGCAAAACCACAAATCACATCTATGATGACCTAATTAGTAACAAGAAAGGGGGAAAGGAAACGTCTTCATACTGAAAATGTTCTACTTTTTGATCTGGGAGCTCATGCTTAATATTAGCAATTCATTCATTTTATTCAAGTTAAAAACTCATCAGATAGATTCCAAGTTCCTGCTCTTAACCACTAAATCACCACAAAGCCAACCTGATAGAATCTAGCCACACTCTACAGCATGTCCCAAAAATGCCCCCAAAGTCACCATACACACAGAAAAATGGGAAACTGAAACTAAATGTATTTTTATTTACAAACTATTCATTACAAAATTTTAGAAAACATTTACAACATTCCCACCTCTTCGTAAAGTTTTGTAACGAACAGTTTGTAAATAAAGGTACATTTAGCTACAATTTCCCATTTTCCCTGTGTTTGACAATTTTAAGGGAGACTTTTGGGATACCCTGTAGAATTGATTAGTTTGGATTATCAGTTTTTCAGGTAAGCAACTGACATCCAAATCAACTCAGGGTGAAAACATCTGAGCAATAAACCTGTTTTAAAATGCCACAGAACAAGAACTGGGAAGTATTAATTTCCTGGCTACTGGGACTTTCTTTTCTGTAACTACATCAGAATTAAAAATAAATAAATAAATAAACTTAACCCTACTAGAAGAATGTTTATAGATACACAGAAAATAAAGTGTAATGTGATTCTTAAAGCTATGAAAATGCCTAAATCTAAAATTACACAAAATATCTCAATATATACTACATACTATGACTCTGTCGACAATACCAATCTCGAAAAAAGCTTTAATTCTGTTACAAAAATTAAGACCAAGCAAGAAGATAAAGCCCATGGGTAAAGGACAACAAAGAGTGAGGGGCGGAAATCTTAACTGTAAAAGTTGTAACAAATAGAAAACTCGGTACAAATAACTTTCTCCAGAAGTAAAGTAACTGTGCCACATATGCCCTAATAAATTCTCCACCAAGTAACAAGTTCTGGCTGACGCTGTGTTCAGACTGACAAAGCCTCATCACCAGAGGGTGATGATGAAATCATTACATCAATTCTCTCAAAGCCTTACCCCACACATACACACACTTCTTATTCAAACAGTAATTGCCTCTCCAGAGAGAAATTTATTCAGCCTACAATTTGGAGACAGCTTAGCAAGTACCTAGTAACAGTAATCTCACTTTAAATGGTAAAGAGATGGATCCACACCTGTTGCCTCTGCTGTCTTCTTTCTTTACTGGGTGCTGTTCATTATACAGCCAGGAAACACTTACCACTTCCAGAGCCTTGGTTAATTCATGTTTTAACCTTTGGTACACACCAAAAATATTAGGCACTTGAATGAAATGGCTTTAGTTTCCCCTGAGCTTTTTTTTTTTTTTTTGAGACAGAGCCTCAAGCTGTCCCCCTGGGTAGAGTGCCATGGCATTACAGCTCACAGCAACCTCCAACTCCTGGGCTCAAGCGAGTCTCCTGCCTCCGCCTCCCAAGTAGCTGGGACCACAGGCGCCCGCCACAACGCCTGGCTATTTTTTGGTTGCAGCCGTCATTGTTGTTTGGCGGTCCGGGCTGGGGATTCGAACCCACCACCTTAGGTGTACGTGGCTGGCGCCTTAGCCGGTTGAGCTATAGGCGCCGAGCCTCCCCTGAGCTTTTAAACGAAAGACCAAAAGGTCTTTTACGAGAATTTTTTAGTACTGGTAATACACGCACCATCATCAGGTGTGTTGCAATAGGTTACGTAACCGAATATTACCTCTGTGGAAAGATCTCAATGTTTATAAAAGTAACCATAGGCATTTATAAATTTTTAAAGTCTTTGTAACAGACTGTCCAATAAAACTGTCAAAAAAACTAAATAGTAGTCAAATATTGTGTCCATTAAGCAAATTAGAAAGAATGAAAACACTGAGCCAGTAGTCAAGTAATGGGCCTCTGCTTCAGGCCCATTAACAGCTGGGGGTCAGCATCCCTAAATTATGGTTTTCAAAAAGCCCCAGAAATTGCTAAAAATATTAAAAGCTATGTTTCAAAGTTTCTTTGAGAAACAAAGGATTCACCTTCTCCCTTATTCCTGTATCAGCCGAAAAAGCCCCACACATTTCTCTCCAGTGCATCTTAGCATTATAACAATCATGAAAACAAAATGATTATTTTTTTGGATCCTCACTCATTTCCTAATGTAACTCTTTTTAAAAAAAATAAACACACAATTTGAGCAATATAGTGAAAATCAACTATCCTATTTTTAGCATAACTTTAGTATATTAGAACCAGAGAAATCTAAATCATGATTTTTGTTTAAACAAAGAAATTTCCAAAGCTGGAAACTATCTACATACTCAACCCTCCATCAGAAGCCCAGAAAAAAAAAAAAAATCATGATTTGTTCTTTTACAGCAAGCAAACTATGTTTATTTTCTTCAAAAAACTACCCCATTCTTTGGATTTTAAAACCCTGCTGTCTGCACCAATTTGGCTGACTTCAGCCTCAAACAGACAAATCTAAACGATTCTCAGCGGGTTACCATCTTTGGTAAGGGGACATTGTGAGCTAGGAGTAACTTCTACATTGATTACAGCAAAGGCCCACTACTTCTTATGATGCTGTACTAGAAGTCTGGTGAACATTCTATTTGTCCTCAAAAACAATCTTATAGAGTAGACACTACCATCCAAAATCCAGATATGGAAAATGAGACCAAGATAAAAACATCATTTGCCCAACATCACTGAATAGCATATGGCAGAATCAAGACGAACGAATGGTGAGGATGGGAACTTGGTACGTTTTCTGGAGAAGTAGGCCTTTTATCATACATGTGCCATCTGCGCCTTCCTAGTCCCAGAGCCCGCCCTGTAGGCCACCTTCTTAACCATCTCATCACCTCCACAAGTACAAATGAAGAGCACTGAGCCCTTACCATGGGCGAGGAAAGTCTCAAAGCAAAAGGCAACATTCCAGATCCAGCATGGTGGCTCACACCTGTAATCCTAACCCTTTGGGAGACCAGGGAGGGCTGACTGAGGCCAAGGAATTCAAGACCAGCCTGAGCAATAATGGGACCTTGTTCCTATAGTACAAAAAATAAAAAATTAGCCGGGAATGATGGTGCTTGCTTGTAGTTCCAGCTATCTTGGAGGATCACTTGAGCCCAGGAGTTTGAGGTTGCAGTGAGCTATGACGCCACTGCTCCCTAGCATGGGCAGCAGAGCAACACCCTATCTCAGAGGGGAAAAAAAAAAATCCAAACTAAAAAAGCAGTTTCAAACAGAAGATCTAATGATAAACACATTTGTAAAGGCTGGGCAGGGTGGAAAAGGTTTATTCAAATTACTTGAGCTCTATAGGGCTCCTGGTACTTCTCTTAAAATCTAATCCGTTTTAAGACCACATGGGCTCTGTGTAAAACTCTCCCAAATTCCACCAGGCTTAATAACTTCTATTCAAAAGAAACAGAAGCCCGCAGCTAGAACAGTGGGAAGTGACTGTCCTACCCTGTCTGTCCTCCCGCTGGGTCAGCTGTCAGACCTGCTTGGGCGCGACCAGGAGCCTGCATGGGAACCACAGCTGGGCTCGGCCAGGGTCCCCCCCTTCCTACTCCCAGTGTCTTCCTAGTCCCAGAGCCGGCCCTGTAGGCCACCTTCTTAACCATCTCATCACCTCCACAAGTACAAATAGTTACATTGGAAGAATTTGTTGTAACAAGTAGAAGCCCATATTCATCACCGGATTCGCAATCTGCTTTCTACTGCTAAGCTGCAACAAAGAAAGGGCAGAAGAATATGGTTTAATTAACTGTTATAAACAATCGTGCGGTGAAGTGAAGTTGAGGTGGTTGCTGGGGGCCACGTGGGCTGTGGGAGCAGAAACAAATAAGCCATCCCTACGTTTAGACTGGACAGAGTCGTCTAGCCAACCCAGGTTATAAATGTACATATTATTTTTAAAGATGAGCGTTCATGCTGTGACACTTGTAGAAAGTCTCCGCGTGATGGGGAGACATCGAGTTCTGCAGCTTCCCAGCCCCGAGTGTAAAATACCTTGGCCTGGAAATTAACAAGGTGACTCCGTGACTTTTCCCTCCAGAGGGGCCTGCCTGCCTTCCCTGGGCGGCCGCCAGATGCGCCCCCGCAGGGCCCCCTTGCCTGCCCACCCGCCACTAAGCGTTTAGCAGCTACCGGCTCCAGGCGCTCCCTACCCCGGCAACACCCCAACCCGGCCCCCACCCCCACCGTCTCCGGCAAGCAGCCTGGTTAATCATTCAACGCCGACGGCGTGGAATTTTTTTTTTTTTTTTTTAGAGGTCAAACCAAAAGATTCTCCCTAAGTTTTGCAGAAACCGGTCTTTGGGGACCTGGAGACAGCAGTGGCAAGCGATTGGGGGTGGGGAATAGCAGCCTGCGGCTCTCTGGCTCACAAAACACCTGATCTCCCATGCGGCACAGGATAGCAGCGCAGTGCGAGGGTGGGGTGCGAGGGTGCGAGCGAGAAACCGCGCACGGCCCCCTCCCCAGCACACGCGTGTGCCCCAGATGGGAAGGCCTGGCCGCAGACGCCCCTTCCCAAAGCCCGCATCACCCCGGCGTGGGATCCCCCGGAAGTTGGGGTGCAGCGAGGAGGGGAAACGTCCTCGGGGTGGGTGTGCAATGGGGCAAGCAGCTCTCCCTCCGGGTTGAGAAAGGGGGCGAGGACATGGGGAAAGGAGGGGGAAGCTTAAATGGGGCAGGAGGCACCTAGGAATCTCTTCGCTATGAAGCCGGAACCGGAGAGGAACCGGGTGTGGGGCAAGAGGGGGTTCAGAGGGCTGAGGAGCCGGGAGGTGAGGAGGGCGGGCAGAACGGGCTCGCGAGGACCGAGAGAAGGGAGAGAGGAGGATGGCTGCGAGGGTGCCCTCCCGCCCGGCCCTACCTTGTCCAGGAGCAGTTCCAGCTCCGCTGGGCGGGGGCAGGGGCGGGAGATCGCGGCCGCATCCACGTCCCGGCCGCTCCGCGCGGCTCAGCCCGGAGACCGCCGCCTCTCACGCCCCATGCGCGGCGCTCGGGACTGGCGGCCCGGCGGTGCGGGCAGTGGGGACGGCTCCGGCTCGTTTCTCCTCCCGCACTTGTTGCCACCGCGTCCGCTGCGCCTCACTCCGAGCCCAGGCTCCCGGCTCTGCTGCCGCCTCGGGGCACCCGCCCCGATCCCGCCCCCGCCCGGCGCGCCAATCAGGCCCGGCGCCGCCCCTCGCGTCACCTCCCAGTCTGCTCGCTGCCCGGCGCCCCAAGTTTTGGAAAGGCTGGGTTTCCTCCGGTTGGCTATTCGGCTCCCAGGACCCGCCTGGACCTGCGCTCCCCAATGTTTCCTGGAATCCTCGGTTCCACGCACACATCTGGAAAGCAAAGGGTTAAGCTGGGGAAAGGGCACCTCCAGGAAGTAGAGCCCCCGGAAAAACCAGGCAGCTCCAAACTCCCGAAAAGTATTCTAAGTCAGGTCTCACCTAATCCCTCCAGCTGCACTTAGACCCTCATGCTGTCCGCTAGATACTGGGGGACTAAGTACGTCGCCTGGAGAGGACTTCAGGGACCTTTATGGCCGGAACAGTTTGTGAGTGGATCTAGACCGACCCTGGCTGCCCTTCAAGTGCCGGGGCACGGGTCCACCGTGGCAGGGGGATGAGGGGAAAATCAGGGCCAAAGGGGGACCTGCCCTTCACCCCCTGCCCGCCCAGTACCGGCGGCCACCTCTTAGGCACCCAAGGCCTAGGGTAGGGTCCTGCTTGGCGCTGCCACCGGGTTTATAAAGCCATCCAAGACATTGAGGGAAGGGTGGAGTCGTTAGTTCTTCTCCTGATGTCAGGCAGAAGGGTTTCCTCGAGGTCCCACGGCAGTCTCAGGAAGCCGGAAATGCAAGAAGATGCCGGAGCGCTGGGCCGGGAACAGCGCAGCGGTCCGAGGGGCAGGGCGGATACCTAGGCGCGGCCTACAGGGCTGAACTCTGACTCCCTCCCTACCCCTCTGGGCTCCGCGGGCAGAATATGCCTTAGTGCTAAGCACACCCTAGCCCACCAACGCGCCCTCCTAGCCCAGCGTTCCTGCCTGCTTCCCAGAGCACTGCTTTCCCGTGTGAGTCCGAGCCGCAGTTAACACAACTTTGGGTCCCACAGGTAAGCCCGGCGCAACGGGACGGAGGAGTTACCCTGGTTTGACAGGCCCGGCTCTGGCCTCGAGGCCAGCATGAGCTCGGCGACGAAGCAAGCCCCTCCTTCCCTTATGTCCTTATCGCTGGGGGTTGAAAGCGCTCCCTTCTAGATAATTGGACGGAGGAATTAAGTACAACCACCCAACTATTTGCATTTTTCCAAAGGCTCTCTGATGCACACTTAGCCGAATGCTAATGTAGGAATTTCAAGCACCTGTGAGCTCAGCCACTTTTAACTCTAGGTCAAAGAGGAGCAGGTTGCTGCTCAATGCACAGAACCATAAGGGTGCGGTCCTCCAGAAACAGGAATTCTGAGTCAGTGGATTTGGAAATGTCATGATCTGCAGTCTTCAGACCTTTTTGCTTTTATGTTGGTCTTATGATTCTCCTTTGACTGCAACATAAAGTCCAAGAAACAAGTCAGATTTTTGTGTATTCATAGAAAAAAGTGTCTGGAAAGATGCAAACCAGCAGTTAACCATGGCTACCCAGGTGTGGGATTGGGGTGGAGGAAAGAGAGAAGATTAATTTTAGACTTTATTGACTTTGGATTTTGTACTTTTCCAGTTACATTTACTTTCATAATTTAGAAAGCTAATAAAACTTTTTTTTTTGGGGGGGGAGACAGTCTCACTATGTTGCCCTTGGTAGAGTGCGGTAGGGCCACAGCTCACAGCAACCTATAACTCTTGGGCTTAAGTGATTCTCTTGCCTCACCCAAGTAGCTAGGACTACAGGTGCCCGCCACAACGACTGGCTATATTTTTGGTTGTAGTTGTCATTTGTTGTTTGGCAGGACTGGGCTGGATTCAAACACGCCAGCTGCGGTGTAAGTGGCTGGTGCCCTAGTCGCTTGAGTTATAGGCGCCAAGCCTAATAAAACATTTTTAAAGAAACAGATGCTGGAATTTTTTTTAAAAGCTCTACATAAAGTATAAATTAATAGTAAATTAAGCCTATTTATTTTATTCTCTGTTAAAATAATTTTTGAGTCCATTATCCTTGGTTTAAATAGGTATCTCTAGGCTGCTGGTCTGATTTTTAAATGCAGTGATGGGACAAAGCTGAC